TCCCTATCCACTCAGAGAGTCCAGATCCAAATAGAGATTTGGATCAGGAAACTCCTAATCAGATTAGGAGGGCTGATCTTTATCTGTAGATAAGATAAGGGATTATCCTTATCTCTTAAAAAGAGTCCAGATCCAAATGCAAGATTTGGATTAGGAAACTCCTAATGGGATTAGGAGAATCTCTCTTTAAGGCTATAAATAGAGGAGGAGGGCGAACCCTACAACACCCCAATCAGATTACTGATTCAAGAGAGAAGACAGCTCCAGTTAGACTGACGCCATCTTCTGCTCTTGCCTCTTTCTATTGCTGCCGCCATATCCAGTTCGATCTCCACCTGTAGGAGCGATCAAGAAATGTTCTTGATATCAGTTTTTTGTAAAAAAACTTATCTGAAGTCATGCTCACTCACCCTCCATCGAATTCTTGCTGAAGAGTTCGGTTCTTGCTGAAAAACCACCTGCTGATTCTGCTCCACCCTACGCTGTGTCATCTTCAGTGGGAGCAGTCTTTGGCGTTTTCCATGGACGTGAACACTTTTGTTGGGAGAGAGAAATTTTTTAAATTTCGCCCAACCTACCTGCAGGCTTCGGACATACATATGATGGATCTCTCATCCCTTCACTTAAAATAGTTTTCAGCATTAAAGACATGTCAAGTTGCCTAAAGCACTGTTAAACTGTGCCTTGGCTACTTTGATCTCATGTTAAATCTCAAATACAAAGTTACAACAGCCCCACTTTGTGGTTTGTACCTTGCAGGAATTTAAACCACTCATCTGATCATCTCACTAATTCATGATTTGCTAACTTTTGAAACTCTTGTCTACTTCCGCCAAGACTTCAGTAATTCCTTGAAAAGAAACAATTTCAAGGATTCAAGCCTGATAAACTATAATTATCAAAGATGCCAAACTGTGCTGCCAGAAAAGGGAGCCTAGCTGACTCCACTCTGAACCCAAGTCCCAGAATCAAGAGTGCAAGCACTGACGCAGAATAGGAGTGTGGAAGCACAAACTCATTTTCATGAAGTAGTACCATTATGATATATCAATCAAGTTTAGTTTCTTTTCAGGCATTCCTTTTTGTATATCTATTATGTATCAAGAACATAAGGTTCTACTGTTCCTAATCTATTCTTTTTGTATATCTATTATGTATCAAATTTTGGATTTATATATACAGAACTAGTTTAGCCCATCATTGACTGAATTCTAGTAACCCAGTCAATAGTCAATTTGAATTATAGTGGTTCCCAATGAAAGTCTGCATGAAGATGATATCAGTTTGTTAATCAGTTCATGGCTCTAACCCTTACAATTAACTCCACAGATGTAGGTTGAACTCCATGACTAGCTTCAACACTAAAACAAACATGGTTCAGGCTTATTAGTCCAAATCAAATTGATTCAAAGTGATAACTGTAACTTATTAAGTTCTTTATATGGTAAAGATAATTGAAATTTTTCTAGCAATTTAATTCTACGTATAGTCGGATTATCCACCATTAAAGATATTAGCAACTATAAGCCGGTGCCTAATTCACTTAATCCTGATGGTAACTATAGCAATAACGAGCATGCAGTTTCTTCTCTACATGAGAAGGGAAATTAAAAAAAAAAAAAAAAAGAGAGGAACACCTGTAATTACAGACGCCCATTCGTCTTTGAACAAAAACCCGGAAGATCGCAGAACCAGCCTGCAAGACTCCAAGATCGCTTTCCTTACATCCATGTCGAGCCTTCCCAAATCTCCGGTACCCATCAACCTCACCTTCGTTTTCTTCCACTCCGACTTCGGAACCCTCGCCTTCGCAAACTCCACAAGACTCAAAATTGAACTCCCAGCTCTACCAGGATCATCTCTGAATTCCGACAACCCCGGGCGAACCTTCATCGAATTGGAACCCTTCCCATCGTATCCAACAAACGGAATCCTCCCCTCATTAAGAAACTCAAATACGTGGATTGTCGATCCAGTGCTACCGGCATTGATGATCACTCCAAAGCCCTTGGGTCTCCATTCGTCAAATTTCGACGACTTATGGATTCCCCTAGCAATTGCAAACAGGTAAAACAAAAACGGAACTATTAAGACAGCTGCAAGGAGAACCCACCATCTATCCCGCGGTTGAGATGGTTTTGGATTCGGCGAAGCGAAAGAAGAGAAGGAATGCATTCGAGGGTGGAGCTGTGTTCTGTGAGGAGGAATATAGGCAGAAGAAGCTCTAGATTGGAGGTTGGAGAAATCCATGGCGATGAAGACGAGAAGCAGAGATCAAACATGTGGAAATCTGGATCAGAATCAGAAATATTTGGTTCTCATTTCAGGAGAAGATTAATCAAGCTCTTAAGTCTTTCTCCATTCAAAATGGTTCGATTTATTTTCTTTTTGTGAAGTTTGTCCATTGGAAAAAAAAATGGCAACGAAGCCACTGGGTTTTCTCAATCAACCGTTCTGCTCTGGATCTTTGGGTGATGGTAGCAGTCAGTTTTTTGGAACTCGAACTTCAAGACGACCAGAAGTCGGTTGCCTTATAACGAACCAAACGCTACCCCAGCTGATCCGGTTCGGGTCTGCTAGATACCAATTTCGTGGATCCGTAACTATCCAAAAGAAATAAAGAATGCGTCACCTGTTCTAAAATCTGATTTGGGGAAAACTATGGCTGTTTGGGAAAAACATCTTTGGGCTGTTTGGGAGCTTCCTCCACCCTCCCGCGTGGCCAGTTTCTTTCAGAGTTTGGATCACCTTCCAACACTCTACCAACCTGACATCACACACATGATGTGTCCCATTTTTATGGTGGGTCTTAAGTCTCATAATGAGATGTGTGGTGTTAGATCCTGTTGGCAGGGTGTTGGAACATGTAATGTTGGTAGGAGATCCCAACTCGCTTCTTCCCTCCCCCCACCCCTCCTTTCTATGTCACAAGAGAGACCCATAACAAGTAGGAGTAACACTTTTCCCCTTTTATGTGGAGGACGTTTGGGACCAATGCATTTCACGATCGTTCCATTTCACAAGTGGGCCATGATTTACAAATGATTAGTTTTATCTGTTTTTTTTTTTTTTTTGAGAAACAAAAAAAAAAACAAAACAAGTGTAAATAAGAGGTGGTTAGGCTAGGTGGGGATGGTTTCCTTGAAGGACAAAAGAAGACTAGGAGTAGAGAATCAACCGGGAAGGCTAAAGCAAGAAATGAGAATGATGAGACAACTGAATAGGGAATCCAATGATTGAGTGAATCAATGCTCGAATTAATAGTCTTCGTTATGGGGAGGATCCCCATTTATAAGAAGGGATCCCGAGGTCCCAAAAGGAAGGAGCCGAAAGTGCTCGATTCCTAACGGGAAAGAGAATGTTGGATTTGCTGTCGGTCATTAATACTAGGGTTTCGCCACATGTCTTATGAGATCTCTCAAAGGTTGATTTTCCTTTCACCCGAGAATTTTCATAATCCATGTGTACTACTTCCTTTCACATCCTACTTAACCGACGTGGTGTCAGTGACATCATTGTGTAGCGAGCGGCCTTTTTATTGAGCCTACGTGGCGCTTTATCATGTGTGCAATTTAAAATTGCACATGCAATCGATACTTAAGTTTGGTTCTCAATGACTCGCAGCTCTGTAATACTTTAGAGTTTATTGCAAGACCGCGCTCCTCCAAAGTTCATTGTAGAACCGTGTGTGTTTGAGGTTTATTGCAAAGTTGTGCACGTCCAAGGTTCATCGCAGAAACACGTGCGTATAAAATTCATCATGGATTTAATTGAAACCTGTTTTGGGCTCGTACTAGGCACAAATCCATCGTGAACATGCAACTTACCGTGTATTCATTACAAGCGTGTGATGCATTATAAGTTCAACGCAGGTGACCGATGAACTACAAACTAACCGCAAGCATCCGTATGGTATCAATTTAGTGTCTTCTGTACTCTGAAGGACTGAGTAAGCATTATGTACCTACAACAGGATATAGGTTGATTGGACGTTTAAAGTGATTTGGCTTAATATTATAATATATTTATAATGACAATTGTTTGCAATCTCAAAAAGTGGTCAGCTTTTTCAAATTCCAATGTGCCATGTCACCAAGATGATTCAGGATCGCTAAGGTGATTCAAGAAATGAAAATTTAACGTTTCAAGAAACCCCTCTTTTCTCAAATCTCAAAACTAATTATTACAAAAACGTTTTCTTAAAAAACAGGACTACTAATTGCCGTTTTTTTATTGATTCCATTTATTTGCTGATGTGGCATGCATGACACATCAGCAGAAACAGAACGGTCGTGAAACACTCTGGTCCCAAGCAACCTGTTGTTGCATTTGTATATTCCCATTCCATCGATATGTAAATGTAACACTCTGGTCCCAAGCAACCTGTTGTTGCATTTGTGTATTCCCATTCCATCGATATGTAAATGTAACCTAAAGCACAATGGAAGGACTAGTTAGATCAACGTTAAGGCATTCCATGGTGTTGCAAATGAGTCAGGGGTTTAACTTCATTAACGCACACTCGACCTCAGTACTCAGTAGATTGAGTAAAATTTCCCAATGATAAATTGTTTATTTGTCAATTATGTAAGCCATGAAGGGCTTATATGAGTTATCCTAGTAAACCGTTGAAAAAGCAAAAAGTATTGAACCATCAAACTTTTGGCTTTTGAGGCTGCTATCACAATTCTGCCACCTAGTGGAATCGAGATTCAATCACCAAACCAGGTTGAATCATAGATTGTATTGGCATAATGGCTTTAATTAGATCAACAAGGTGTTCTCAGGAGGATGAACTACCAATTCCTACCAATACTAGCTTGAACAATGGCAAGTGAGAACAACAGTGGTGGTGAGCAATAGTGGTGAAAGATTAGAGGTGTCGGAGGTGAGACACAAGAGGGACGTAAGTGGTGAGAGAGGCAAGATTCACCTGTGAGTAAGAATAGAGCGATGAAGTGGTAATGGTGATGAGCGGCAGTGGTGAGTGATGAGAAGCATGAGAGAGAGAGAAGCATGAGAAAGGCAAGAGATACCTGCGGCTACGGCTAACCTGTTGATTATAGTGGCAGTGGTGATAAGTAGGAGTAACGGGAGTGAGAAATGATGAGCATGGAACGAGATCAGGGAAACGACAAAGAGAGTGGAAAACGAAGGGGGCAGGTAGGAGGTTTTGTCACTTTTGGAGGCAAACAATAAGCAAATCTGAAAAGAAAATTAATTTTTTAAATAATACATTTGAATTTTTAACTATTCCGCTGTTAATTGTGTGGGATTGTAAACATTTCAAATAGTTCAGGCTGTTTGCCCTGCCCCAAACAACCAAAGTTTCCCCTTATTTTGGGTTGAGACCACACGAATAAATGCTTATTTGCATTTGGGAAATAAGCCCAAATAAGTGTTTATTCTTGAAGAGCAACTACAAAGGTTTTTGGGGAAGGCAAGAAACATATGGTTTGTATCCTAGAAGGGAAGAAAGTATAGGTTGGAAGGGAGTTGTGAATTAAATTTAGGCTTATCGACTTGAGATAGAGGATGAAAAACTAAGGTTTCAAAAGTAGAATATGGAATTAAGGAAAATAGAAGGATGTTGAAATCTTTAGTGCCCAAAATATACTAAAAATGGAGATGGAGATGGAGAAAGGTTCTCAAGAGAAGAGGATTGTATAACAAGGAATATGATTCGAAATTGTAAAGTTGTGGCAAAAGTTGTGATGGAAAAACTAAGGATTAAGTTAGTGAGACAAGATCAGTTATGGAAGTGGTAGATGAGAGTGTGGGGATGACATCTGTGGAAACAGAGGATGGTCTAATCGTGATCGAACAGTGGCGCATGTCCTACAATGAACTTGAAGTGAATGGAGAAAGCTCCGCAATAAATATGTTAGGACTTTCTTTCAACCTCTAGAAAGCTATAGTCATTAAAAGGATTGTTCAAAATCTAGGAGGAATCATGGAAAGTTTAGACTTGTAGGACCTACGAGCGGTGAAGGTGAAGATAGTGGGGGTACAACTAGAAAACATCCCTAGGTTAGTGCAAATCTTCTCTAACAGTCTATGGAGGAGGGTGTGGCTGCTAATGGATGTTGAATTGGCAATGTGGGAAGCTAGTTCCAAGGAAGGAAACGATGATGATTGATGAGCTTTCAATCTCAAGTAAACACGGAGGAAAGGGAGTGGTTGAAGGTGGAAGAGTAAGTGTTAACCTTGCATTGGAAGCTCAACAATCATCTTCGAAGAAGATGTTCACTATCAGCCTTCAAAAAGAAATTTATTCAAAAAAAATTAAATTAAAAGAGAAAATGCAGGCAAAATTGTACTATACCAAATTGGTTAAGAAAGGGAAAAGCTCTTAATTGGGGTGGGGTCCACATAATAACTTGAAGATGGGCTTAAGCAAATTGACTCATGTGATACATTATGTAGTCATATAAGTTGAGTATCTTTGTCACCAGTGGGTGACCAAAATATTAGTCTATCCTCTTCCCAAAAGATATGGTAGGAGACTAATATAAAGGTCACAAATAAACACTCCAATGGGTAATTAGGAGTAAGAGCAAAGAGCAGGAGTCTGGTAATCAAGTAGAAGATCAGCCAAATCCAAGATATTCTAAGAGATCAGAGGAGTTTGAGGAGGAAGATGGAGGTTTGATGGACTGTGATACATCAAAAGATGACAAGGATGGGTTAGGAATGGCAATAGGGCAGGGCAGGGCTGGGTTTTGCATGCCCCACCTTTGTCCCTGCTCCAAACCTTGGCAGGGCTAGAAATTCTAACCCCATCCTTGTCCTTGAGGGAATGAGGATCCCGGAATTTGTCCCACCCTGCCTCAATCATTCCTACTTGTATACTTACAATTTTTTTTAAACCTACCTAAAACTATTTTATATTATGTAATAGAATAAATAATAGTTATATATAATATAGTCAAGGCAGGTTCAGGGCCAAGGTCGGGGTGTGGTGGACAAATACCATCCCTACCCCATCTCTGATCCCCAGAGTTCCGGGTTTCCTTGAACCCTGATTAGTGGTAAAAAATCTGCCCCAACCAGGGTGGGGCAGGGCAAGGCCCCATAAGGATAGGTCAAATTGCCATCTCTAGGATGGGTCTTATATTGAGTTCAAGACTGACAGCTTGGGGGAGGATGAGGAAGCAAGGAAGATATAGAAGATAAATACAATTATACTTTTTATTAGAGAACAATAAGAGGAAAAGAAAGAGGATGATACCTTTGTTCTGCAACTTTCTACAGAACAAGGGAGGCCAAACAATATTGAGTCTAATTTGGTAGGGAGGGAAGACACTCAAAGACTAAATGGGGGAGAACAAGACCGATTGCAAGGTTGTGGGTAGGGTGTCCATAAGCCAATAGTAGTTTATCACACTCGGACTTACAAAGAGGACCCAAGAGTGAATAAACCACAAATTTGTGGGGGGGAAATGAATATAAATTGAGTTTGAGTCTAGTTAACTCCTTACAGCAAGCCTCCCTAAGAATAT